GTTAGAGGACTTCTCTGGTGGTTCAGCTGGTAAAGAATCCGCCTGCAATGCAGGAGACCTGGGTTCAATCCCTGGGTTGGGAAGATCCCCTGGAGAAGGGAAAGGCTACCCACTCCAGTATTCTGGTCTGGAGAATTCCATGGACTGTATAGTGCATGGGATTGCAAAGAGTCAGTCATGACTGAGCGCCTTTCATGTCACTTAAGTGTTAGAAGTGAGAATTGTACCCAGATTATTCTGTCTCCTCCCCACTGTGTGTGATTAACTCTTCCTGGCCAGGCTGGAAAGAGCTTCATGGAGGAAGTGACGTTTGAACGAGGCACAGAATGCATGTCCTAAGGCATGGAACTATGATGAGGCTGTTGAAAGAGCCGCAAGGAAGGAGCCCATTTGTCTAGACAGGTAGGAAATAAGAATGGGAAGGGAGGTGGGGGCCAGACTGTTAAAAGTACATATGCTTGCTAAGAAGTACGTATGAGTCAACACAAACCAGCACCTCGTCATAGAAAACAAACCAAAATGCAACCCCCCTGGTGGTGGGTTGATGACGTCATCTTTAGGTAGAGAAGGTAGCATCCTGTTGCCCCCTTGGGTTAGTCACAAAATGAACCCTGGAAAATATCATTCAGAAATAAGCTGGAAAAAACTGTTACTGGAAAAAAAAAAAAATCCACCTTCTGAAAAGTGATTTTCTTGTTTTTTAAGAAAATATTTTTTTAACATTTAGGAGGCTTTTCAGGATGTATAGTATTTTTAAGGATATTTCGTATTTTTATTGATGTATTTATTTTGGACTTCAGGTGCTGAGGATTGAATAAATCATTCTTTCAATATTTTTCCATCCAAGGCCCCTGTCTTGTTTTATATATTTATTTTCATTTATTCACATTATCTATCTCTCCAGCTCCATTCCACCATCAGTCATTCTGATGTATATCTGTTTACTTGCACTTATTAGTGTAAATAGGTATTATTTTGGGTGCATGCATTTTTATTGGGTGCATTTATTATTTGGGTGCATGCATGAAGTATTATTGACATATAACATCATAGTAGTCTCAGGTGTATAGTATAATGATTTAGTATTTGTGTATATTATGAAATGATGGTCACAGTGAGTTGAGTTAACATCTGTCCTTCATGGACAGTTAAAAAATTTTTCCTGGGATGAGAGCTTTAAAGATTTATTTTTGTAACAACTTCCAAATATGTAATACAATATTATCAACTTTAGACACCAGGCTGTACATTACATTCCCAGGACTTATATATCTTATAGTTGGAAGTTTGTACATTTTGACCCCCTTCATCCACATATGAACCATATGTGACCCTCTTCACCCACATGGGACCAAGGTTACATGTAGAACATGCTATCTTTTAGGCAAGATTGTTTGACTTTGACTGAAGGAAATAAAGACTTTTTTTAAGGGAGGGGGCTTCAACCCTTGAGTTATCTCACCGTCTAGTTATGTAGGCACTAGAAAAGAGTTAGTCACTCAGTCGTGTTTGACTCTGTGACCCTGGATTGTTGCCTGTCAGGCTCCTCTGTCCATGGAATTCTCCAGGAAAGAATTCCCCACTCCAAGAGTGGGTTGCCATGCCCTCCTTCAGCGGATCTTCCCAACACAGGGATTCAACCCAAGTTTCCTGCATTGCAGGTAGATTCTTTACCATCTGAACCACAAGTACCCACAAATTAGCAAAGTTCTAGAAGCATTAAAAAGTATTCACTAGGTTTATTTATCAGTAGAATCTCTAAGGTGCTTGAAAGCCAAAGTTTAAATTAACTTGACCTAGAAGGCCCAGATTCTTTCTCTTCAAATCTGAATTGTTTTCTTCTTATATATAACTGCCGATTTTTTTGTTGTTTTTAATTCTTAAACTAATAGGAACCATGAGATATGTAAAGATGTGAGAATATGAAAGAACTATGCAACTTTCCCCATGTCTACTCTAATTAACCTGGACCAGAAATTGCAGACAGCTGAGATCTTGACTTCCATCAGTGTAACCCCAAGCCCTGCCACCAGCTTGAGTGGTTGCCCAGATGGCCTTATACAGGCTTTGGAATTCTACTCACCGAATCACATTCTCCCACCCAGGCCATCTTCCTGTTTCCTTTGTCTGGCACATAGTAGGCACACTGGTCATACCTAAATGGTCTAGTGGTTTTTCCCTACTTTCTTCAATTTAAGTCTGAATTTGGCAATAAAGAGTTCATGATCTGAGCACCTTAGTTCAAAAAACTAAGATCATGGCAGCTGATCCCATCACTTCATGGCAAATAAATGGGGAAACAGTGGAAACAGTGAGAGACTTTATTCTTGGGGGCTCCAAAATCACTGCAGATGGTGACCGCAGACATGAAATTAAAAGACACTTGCTCCTTGGAAGAAAAGCTATGACCAACCTAGATAGCGTATTAAAAAGCAGAGACATTACTTTGCCAACAAAGGTCTGTATAGTCAAAACTATGGTTTTTTCAGTAGTCATGTATGGATGTGAGAGTTAGATTATAAAGAAAGCTGAGTGCCGAAGAATTGATGCTTTTGAACTGTGGTGTAGGAGAAGACTCTTGAGAGTCTCTCGGACAGCAAGGAGATCCAACCAGTACATCCTAAAGGAAATCAGTCCTGAATACTCACTGTAAGAACTGATGCTGAAGCTGAAACTCTAGTACTTTAGCCACCTGATGTGAAGAACTGACTCACTGGAAAAGATCCTGATTCTGGGCAAGATTGAAGGCAGGAGGAGAAGGGGATGACAGAGGATAGATGGCTGGATGCCATCACTGACTGGATGGACATAAGTTTAAGCAAGCACTGGGAGTTGGTGATGGACAGGGAAACCTGATGTGCTGCAATCCATGGGACTGCAAAGAGTCGGGCGCGACTGAGCAACTGAACTGAACTGAAGCGCACTGGAAATGTTTGTCATGATTCTTGATTCACCGGCTATAGAGAATGTGTACTTTGAATAACTAGAAACAGAAAAGTGTTGGTCTTTCCTGGACTTCCCTGTGGCCATAGCTACTAGGCTAGGGGGTCTCAAACATGAGCATGCTTTAGAAGTACCTGGATGGCTGGTGAAAACTCAGATGGCTGAGCTCCACCCCCCGACGTTTCTGATGTGATGGGGCTAACATCACATGTGAAGTTGGAAACAGCACAGCAGAGATGGCCAGCGCTCACATTTATTTATCTCTAGCAGAGAGGCATCTTTTCCTAAGTCACATAAAGGTGCCCTGGGGGATGGAACATTCTGAAAACTCTGCCCTAAATCACTGGTGACCTCGGGGAGGGCATTGTCCTCCCTGGAATTAATGGTCCTCATTGATGACAGGAGGCGACAGAGATTCTGATATCCAATAGAATCATCTGTAGAGCTTTTTAAAAATGCTGGTGCCTAGAAATTTGGCAAAACTTGGATACATTCAGTTACGGATAGTATGAAGTCAATGTTGATTTTCTGATTTTGCTTTTTTTTTTAATTGTATTTTTTTGTAAACACCAAAAACATTTTGCATTGGGGTAGAGATGACTAACAGTGTTGTGATAGTTTCAGGTGAATAGCAAAGGGACTTTGATCATTTTACTGTGGTAGAGTAAGAGAATCCTGATTTTTGTTTTAAGAAAATATGCACTGGAATATTTAGAGATCAAGAGCCTTCATGTCTGCAAGTCTTAAATGTATCAGAGATGGAGAATGATCAAGCATGTGTGGTTTATTTGGGGAATCTAGGCTAAGGGTTCTTTACCAGTGGAGCTACCAGGGAAGCCCAAATTAATTAAAAAGCAGAGACATTACTTTGCCAAGAAAGGTCTGTATAGTCAAGGCTATGGTTTTTCCAGTAGTCATGTATGGATGTGAGAGTTAGACTATAAAGAAAGCTGAGTGCAGAAGAATTGATGCTTTTGAACTGTGGTGTTGGAGAAGACTCTTGAGAGTCTCTTGGACTGNGGTGTTGGGGAAGACTTTTGAGATTCTCTTGGACTGCAAGGAGATCCAACCGGTACATCCTAAAGGAAATCAGTCCTGAATATTCATTGGAAGAACTGATGCTGAAGCTGAAGCTCCAGTACTTTGGCCACCTGATGTGAAGAACTGACTCACTGGAAAAAACCCTGATGCTGGGAAAGATTAAAGGCAAAAGGCAAAGGGGATGACAGAGGATGAGATGGTTAAATAGAATCACCAACTCAAAGAACATGAATCTGAGCAAACTCCAAGAGACAGAGGAGGGCAGAGGAGCCTGTCATGCTGCAGTCCACGTTACATGTTGTAACATGGATTATCCCTGGGAAAGATTCACAAGACCTCCCATGGGGTTACTGGATAAATTGCCGTAAGTGAAAGAAGTCAGTCAACTTTGTATTGTGTATTATATGCTTCCATTCACATGAAAGGCCTAGAACAGGGAAATTTACAGAGACAGAAGGTAGATTTGTAGTTGTGAGGAGGACAAGAGGATAGAGAGGTAATAACCAAAGTGTACAGGGTTTCATTTTGAAAATATTACAAAATTGACTATGGTGATGGTTGCACGTGTCTTTGAAGATACTAAAACCCACTGAATTGTACACTTTTCTAAGGAGAATAGGATGCTATTTGAATTATATATATATATTAAAAAAAAACCCTCTGGGATGTGGTTGAAAATCCCTGGTGTCTAGTTTTCAGGGTCTTCCAAGAACTCTAATGAGCAGCCCAGCTGACGACCGCAGGCCATTCCTATATATTGACGCTATGCAAACACATGTTTAAACCATCCAGTTATACTATAATCAGGGCAATATTCTTAGAGATCCAAAATTCGGTGGCACTGGGAATTCCATTTGTCTCAGCCTCAGCCCTTCTTTAATCAGCCAAACTGTGTTCGATGGGTCGTCCCATGCCATTCTCCCGCCCCACTTCAGGACTGGAAGCTTCCTGGATCGGCCACCTGGCCTGCCCATTGAGCCAGACAGCACCAGCCACATAGCAGACCCAGGGCTTACGCTGGCTGACTTGGAGATGCTCGCTCGCAGTTGAAGCCAGGTATCGCCCTGATGTGGTACACTTTCATCTCGCTTTTCATTTACTTTCTTCCCTTCCGTGTGGTTCCGTCTTTGATGTGACCTCCAGCTGTCACTGCCGCGCTCCTGGATGCCAATGGCGGGGCACCAGCCACGTGTTATCCGTGATGACTCACGAGCGAGGTACTTTTCCACTGGGCCCGCGGCCACAGCCCCTCCTCCACTCCATCCTTCTGTAGTCACCTCACCCTGCGGAGACTTCCGTCTCTCTCTCCTCCTGGACTCCACTTCTTAGGGACAGTTTCTGGGCGCTCAAGCCTAGCCATTGCTGGCACCCTGTTATTAAATTGATTCTCTATTCCTTTAAAAAAAAAAAAGAATAACCACTTTTAGAAATCAGACCTGAAAGCTGAGTCTCCCGTCTTCCTTCCTGACCTGCAGCTTCATAGGAGGGGAGGGAGGAAAAAAAAACAGAACTCTCAACTGGAGGAAGACGGAGCCTAACTCCTGCGATCATTCAAGGGGATTTCAGGAAATCCTCCCGCTAATAGCCCAATTTCCCTAGCTTGAGACTCAAAAGGAAACAGAAGAAAGACCCCAGGAGGTTACTTATACCCCGAACAAGAAATGCAGGATGTAAAACTGTGCGTACTGTTTGCCCCCAATTGTTTAAAAAAAAAAAAAAGATCATCAGACTCAAACCTGGAAGGAGCAAAGCCTGAGTGTTAACAGTGGTCCATTCTGGGTGGAGGCGTGATGAGTGATGGAAGGTAGTTTCTGCTTCTTTTTATTTTCTGTACTAACCATTGATACAAGGGTAGAGAGGATTCAAACGAAGGAAGGAAATGTCGAGAAAACCAAGGCTCTATAGGGGGCAGCGGGCCCAGTCATGCTCTCCTGATAGCCTAGGGTCCTTCTCCTGGGGCCTCCCAGCTGTGGGCTGGGAGTCACTCCTTCCTGGGGTCACTCCTAGTTCCTTAGGCATTTCAGACACCTTGTTGCTCCTCTGAGCTCAGCATCTGCCCCAGCCATGACTGCTTTCTATTTACTGGACACGGAGTAAAAAGCGTCTCAAGTGCTTAGCACTGAATGAATACAAAAATCTGGCAGTGTTTCAAAACTATATTTTCTGACATTTTTAATATGAGGGTGCCTTTATAAGTTTTTTAATCTACAAGAACATCTCTACATCTTTTTTTCTCAAGATTTGTTTTGATGTGGATTAGTTTAAAGTCTTTATTAAATTTGTTACGATATTGCTCCTGTTTTGTGTTTTGGTTGTTTTGGCCACAAGGCATGTGGGATCTCAGCTTCCCAAGGAGGAATCAAACCTGCTCCCGATGCTCTGGAAGGAGAAGTCTGAACCACTGGACCACCAGGGAAGTCTTTATACATCTTTAAAAAATAAAAAAGCTTAACGTCTTTCAGATACCTGAAATATCAGATATTTCAGGTATCTGAAAGAAAGTCACAGTGTTGCTCAATTGTGTCCGACTCTTTGCAACCCCATGGACTGTAGTTGCCAGGCTCCTCTGTCCATAGGATTTCCCAGGCAAGAATACTGGAGTGGGTGGCCATTGCTCTGTCCAGGGAATCTTCCTGACTCAGGGATCGAACTCAGTCTCTTAAGTCTCCTGTGTTGCAGGCGGATTCTTTACCATCTAAGCCACCGAGGACCCTTTGGTATCTGGCCATGGCTTACCCCTCCAGTTCTATTTTGCCTGTTTCACTGTCCCCATTCCTAAGGGCCAGTGCTCTGTGTCCCAATGCAAGGAATTGCCCTCGCAAAATCTATAGAGGTGGTAACTCCCAGGGTACCTTTGAAGATGGTGTTTGGATATCACAGCATAATTTGACAATAATCAGGACTGCTGCATATTGGCATACAAATAAAAGTGTAAATTAGTGGACCAGAAAGGAGCCCAAATCAGATTTATGTAGAAATCACCTGATTTCACAAAGGCATAACTGCAATTAAATATGTTATTTTCAATAAATGGTGCTGGATTAATTGGATGTTCATATGGGGGGTGGGGGAATGAACATTGGTCCCATACAGACATCAAACGTAATTAATCCAAAGTGGATCATAGACCTAAATTTGAAAAATAAAAATAAAGATGCAGGGATTGTATGGAGAGCCTAACCATTTACTATCTGGTCTTTTACAGAAAAAGTTGCCAACCTCTCATTTAGACAGTCAGTAAAAGAATAAGTCAAGGCCTAATTTGTAGCATTTGCCAATTTCCATGGTGTAAATACCCCTGCCACGCTGCCAACATGACATTACTGAACGTGGAACTGGAGTGAGAGTGGGCACAGCATCACGCAGTCCAGCGACCCCTCAAGTCCAGGAGTGGTAAATAACCCCTAGAGCATGGGCAAAAGCAAAGTGTGGTAAAACTAGAAAGTATGCGTTTGAGCTTTTATTACCTTTATTCCCAATGAAATTTATATAATTGTAAGTTCATAAGTCTGATTTTTAACTATGGCTGCTTGACAACAGCCAGCTGGCACAATTCCCCCAAACTCAACAATTGACTCTCCGGAGCCAGCCCCAGCACCTCATTGACTGGGGTGACTCATGGCCTGGCAGACAGACGTCAGTCCTTTGGGCCGGGTCCACACCAAGTTCTGCAGAACTGGGGAAAAGGCCCTTGTCTCTCTGTACCCGCTCTGCCGCTTGGTCCTGAAGCAGAAGCATCTCTTATCATCCTATCTCCAAAGGCAGATGTTACTCACAGCCCTCTCTGTGTTCAGAGCCTGCACCCAGCCTTCCTCTCTCATGGTGCACAGGGCCCCTTCTCTGCAACCTCCTTCCCCCGAAATGCAAACAGCTACCAGGAAGATCCCTGGGGGCGGGAAAGACTCATCTGCCCAGAGTCACCAAACACAGGTAGTGTCTCTTCTCAGGTGTAACAGGAACTAGCACCTCACAATACTATAAACTCGACGTAATTCCAATTTTTTTAAAAAAGGATATTTTTGAACTCCAAAATAAAGATCCAGAGGTTTAAAAATTGAATAGAAAAATATTTATGTGCTATTAAAATGTATTATTAACTGTAATTTTTCACATGATTCTGGCAGAGAAATACCCATATTCAGGTTACAGGAAGTTCAGAAATGGACTCCATGATGAGTGGTTATCATATCAGGGCTTCCCTGATAACTCAGTTGGTAAAGAATCCAGCTGCAAGTCAGGAGACCCTGGTTTGATACCTAGGTCGGGAAGATCCCCTGGAGAAGAGATAGGCTACCCACTACAGTATTCTTGGGCTTCCCTTGTGACTCAGCTGGTAAAGAATCTGCCTGCAATATAGGAGACCCCAGTTCAATTCCTGGGTCAGGAAGATCTGCAGGAGAAGGGATAGGCTGCCCACTCCAGTATCCTTGGGCTTCCCTTGTGACTCAGCTGGTAAAGAATCTGCCTGCAATGCTTGAGGCCTGATTCAGTCCTTGGGTTGGAAAGATCCCCTAGAGAAGGGAGAGGCTACCCACTCCAGTATTCTGGCCCAGATGATTCCACGGACTGTATAGTCCATGGGGTCACAAAGAGTCGGACACGACTGAGCGACTTTCACTTTCATGAGTGATTAGTGCTAGAACCTGAATGTCTGTGTTCCCCCCAAATTCATGTCTCAAAACTTAAGCCTCAAGGAGATGTGCTAGGAGTTGAGGTCTTTGCCAAGTGATAAGTCATGAAGGCTTCACTCTCACCCCTCTAAGAGATCCCCGGGAGTTCCCTCCACCACATGAGAGCCAGGAGACCTCCGCCTATAAACCAGGAAAATGATCCTTACTAGACACTGAGACAGCTTGCTCTTGGATTTCTCAGCCTCCAGAATGGTGAGAAATAAATTTCTGTTGTTTATAAGTCACCCAGTCTAAAGTATTCTGTTGTAGCCACCCAAGCTAAGACACTGATAAAAGCCTTATTTCAAATCAGTGGGAAGAAATAGATTTTAAATACTAACCACAGAGAGAAAACTGGATGAACTCCTGTGCTGGCGTTAAGGACACTGGTCCCATCTTACTCAGTGTCCCTTGTAACACATCCACATGACATAAGCTTCTGCATATTCAATGTCAAGAAGTTTCTCTGGCTCAGAAAAGGTGACACGTTTCTTTCCATCAAACAACAAAAGACTTCTAGAACTCAGCATCCGGTTCTTCCATTGCCAGGAGGCTGAGCTAGATGGTGTAAGCACCTTTTAAGATTCTTGGTAAAATTCTGTCTCTATAGAAGATATCAGGCTTCCCAGTTGGTGCTAGTGGTAAAGAACCCACTTGCTAGTACAGGAGACATAAAAGACGCGGGTTCAATCCCTGAATTGGTAAGATCCCTGGAGAAGGAAATGGCAACCTGTTCCAGTATTCTTGTCTGGAGAATCCCATGGACAGAGGAGCCTGGTGGGCTACAGTCCAGAGGGTTGCAAGGAGCCAGACACAACTGAAGCAACTTAGCACACATAGAAGATATCAAACAAAGAAAACTTTTTATTCCTATTTGAGTGTAATCTCTCAAAGCAGGCGGTTTCAGGCAGCCTTTCTCAGTGGGGTTCCTTAACTGAACCCCAAAACCCAGATGGTGATGTGGGTTGACTGTTTTCTCAGCTCTCCTAAGGAGATGCCTAGGAGAGAATTCATTACACACAATGGATGCTTTAAGGCAGTTATCTCAAACTACTGGCACTAGAATCACCTGGAGGTATTAAAACAAATTGCCAGTCCCCTCCCTATAGGCACTGAGGAGGAACAGATAAGTTGCATGTCAAGTTCTCTGATGATGATGATGATGGTGATGGTGATGATGATGATGATGATGTTCGACCACAGTTTTAAGAGCCATTGCTTTCAAGAATTAGAGTTTACTTTCACTGCAGGCTCAGAAGAGCCACTGGGTGGTTATGGGTGACCTGAAACTCAATGTAAAATTAAATGTGTTGAGTGTGAAAGGGACCCTTGACCTCCAACAGCTGGGCATAACTACTAAAATCACGCATACTTGAGTATTTTGACAGAGCTGACATTAATACCAGAATCTGTT